GATTTATTGGTGTAAGTTTTGCTGCACAAAAAAAAAAATTATAATAAGAAATCTATTAAATTTTAAAGAAAAATAATAGTAGAGTAAATATATTTGTACCTTATATGTACCATTTTTGGTTGTTTATCTAGAACTTTAATGTGTTGTAGATTTCTCAGTTATATGATTGTATAAATAACGTAATAATTGACAATTATTACAGTTGTTTGTTGTAACGAAATTTTCTTCTACTATATCTGATAATTTTATAAATAAAAATATAAAAACATTAAAAAAATATAATTATAATTAAAAGCACAAATATTCAACACAACCCAATCTTTCATTTCTTTTAGATTTGTTGTGATTTCTAAGTTTTTTTTTTTTGTTTAAATATAATTTATAGAGGCAATAGTATGTAAGTTTAATGAATTTTTGGTGTTTTTTTTTTAAGTAAGTCAGTTATGTTCTTTTGAGAAATAAATAAGAATTAATAATAATTAATGAAAAAGGCAAAAGAATTGGTATTCCAAATTTATTTATAGAATAAAATGAATGTGATAATTTTTGACTAAATTATATTTTTTTAATTTTTAATAATTTTTTACTATTAATATTTATAATAATATTTGGATATATATTTACCCATTAATTATATTGTTTATCGCCTCTAACTTGGTTTTGTAGACTGCTCCAAAATGGCGGCAAAAGCCTCCAAAAAGCTCTTATCAATTTTTATCTGCAAGAGTATTTATAAGATTTTAGATATAAGATTTTAGAATACTTAATGTCAATGGACCTGCAACCTGTGCCAAAATGTGCCAAAATAAAGACAGAGTGTGACGCGCTTAAAATCGCACAGGGTATCGACACTTCAATGGAAGTACTGACACCTTCACCGCATAGTGGACAGAGAGTTCGTGTCGGAGATTTTGGACCTAAAGGCAATTTTGGTGCTTCTTTGGAAAACTGTTCTGGTCTTTCATCTTTCATCAATTGACACTTTGATTCTCGTATTTTTTATTTCTTCAGTTTCGTCCTAAAAATTACAATTTTTTATTTTTTATTTTCTTTTTATTAACTACTTTGATTTATATTTTGAAGACTCGCACAGGGTGTCGACACTTTAATGGAAGTACTGACACCTTCACTGCATAGTGGACGCAGAGTTTCGTGTCGGAGATTTTGGACCAAGATGCAAGTTTGGTGCCTCTTTGGAAAACTGTTCTGGTCTTTCATCTTTCATCAATTGACACTTTGATTCTCATATTTTTTATTTCTTCAGTTTGATCCTAAAAATTACAATTTTTAATTTTTTTTATTTTCTTTTTATTA